TTTATTATTCTTATCAGATTTCCTTTTTTAAACTTGATTATGGTATTTTAATTGTTTGTGTTTTGTGTTTAAAATCGGGAAAATTCGGAAATAAATTATATTTTATTAAAAAATCGATCCTTTTTGTTAAAAATGTTATCCTTTTTCAAAAAATGGCTGTCATATTTTCTTGAAATCCATCTTTTTAACAAAAATCCCATCCTTTTTATAATAAATTCCTGTCCTTTTTCATGAAAATCACCATTTCTTTCGAAATTCGTCCTTTTTATTAAAAATCCTGTCCTTTTCAATAAAAATACCTGTCCTTTTTAAAACAAATCTCCATCACTTTTTATGATTTTCATCCTTTTTATTAAAAATCTTGTCCTTTTAAAATAAAATCTGTCATTTTTAAACTATTTTCCCATCATTTTCAGACGTATTTTCACTGTATATAAATAATTATATACAAAAATTTTTACAAAATAAAAAAACAAAAAATGCACTAACCGGGAATTGAACCCAGAATCGTTAGCTTGGAAGAAAAAACTCTTGGCTTCTTAGGCCCCTTTGTGCTCTGAAATTATCTGAATTTTATCTATATTGATACTTCCACTTATTAAATTACTATTAAATTTGTTTTGATGACCTCTGGTCCAAAACCACTGTTTTTGCGCAAGATAACTAAAAAAATCTCAAGAATACCAAAACTATATTATAAAACAGCAAGTTTTTTTAACTCAAATATTGAACTCATATTTGGTTGTTTTTAAAAGTTCATCAAAATGTTATCTAGATATGTTTATTATAAATTATAACATTTTTATTAATCAATAAAATAATAGAAATAAAATAAAAAGATCCGAGTAAAACAAATGATGATACCCAATAATTACCCACAATCGATGGCAAACTGTCGCCGAACCACCACAAAAACATCGAAAACAAGTTTTTTGAGGGTTATTAATCCCACTCATCGATCTAGTGTTACAAAAACAGTGCGTCAACCACTGGCAGCCTTAACGACATCAACAGTGCTTCAACCACATTCTACGCCAACGACACAGCCAACACAACTTCCAACACTTTTTGTGAGAGAACCATTTTCACAGATTCAATCACACAACATACCAGTTGTGCCAACAAAAGAAGCAAAAAAGTGAAAACAGTTGGATTGCAAGCAGAACAAACAACAGCAATTGAGGAGTCGAGACAGGAAAGAAGAAGACAAACAACTCAACTTCAACGGATAAGATTGGAAGCTGTGACTAACATTCGAGCTTCAACTGTAATCCAAGAAAGTGTTGATATGTTCCTTTTGAGAATGGATAACGAAAAATTTGATCTCGAAGACTGTGCTACCCCAATTGCGACTATCACTATTCGCAACAAAGAATCGTTGTTTTCCATTAACCTAACTACCAACGAAAGATGTGTAATGTTGACTGGACTTCAAAAAAATCATTTTGATGAATTATGCAAGTTGATGAAATACAAAAACGGATATTACAGTGTAAACAGAGAAAGTGAAGTTGAAAGAACTCTTGGAAAGTTCACAGGCACAATACCAAATACTAAAGTAGTCACTCTTAACAAGAAAAACCAACTCACTTATGAAGATCTGCTACTATTGTTACTTACTCAATTACATGGTGATTACAGGTATAAAGAATTGTTTGAATTCTTAAACATTGAAATCATTTCACCAGACAACTACGAAAATGAAGTGAACGAGATTAAAAACAAAAGAAGAAAAGAATCAAATATATCTAAGTGGCTTGATCTGGCACTCGACTTGTTTAGTGAAGCAATGAAAACAATATTTATCGACTCTGTGTTAAAATGTGCAGAATGTACACGAAGCTTCGATATTGGTAGATCAGCTGCTTTCGGAAAATATATACCAGAGTTAAAGCAAGTGTTTTTTTGCAGTTGACGGCAGAGATCAGGCAATCAACAATAAAAGAGTTGAACACGGAACGACAACTGTGTTGGATAAAAAATTTTTCAGTTTTAAACATAATCATTCAGGCTTGAAGTCGGAAGTTGTCATCAATTATTTCGGTATGGTGGTCAGTATCGTGACTGAAATCGAATGTAGTGTTCACGACAGTGTGTTATTTAAAGATTATTGTTATGAAAAATGTGTCCCAAGTAACATGTTGATATTGGCAGATGGTGGTTATTCTTCTTGCCCATCTTGTGTAATTCCATTTAAAATAACCAATGATCTGGAGTTAACTGAAATACAGAGGAGGCATATTAAAAACCGTAACAATTGTCATTCGTCTTGTCGAATTGAAGTCGAGAACTTATTTGGCAGGTTAGTAACAACTTTTAAAATGATGCGAAATGTGTGGAAATTACCATTGAACAAATACGGATCCTATTCAATTGTTGCACATGCAGTTCTCAACTTTATGATAACAAAAAATCCTATGCGAAATGTTCATTTTTATTTATTCAAATCGTATTTGAGAACTAGTCCCGAAAACAGAAACTTGTTTTTGGAACCGCTTCTACCCGCTACAAGAAGATGGCTGACTGCATTTATAGAACAAAGAGACGTATCCGCAGTTGTTAATGGTAATAAAGAGTTTGTTGATGGACGTGGAACTGCTAATGTTGTTAATGAAGATTGATTTCAATTTATTGTTTCATACTTTTATAGTTTATTTATTATAATTTTGTAATTTGTGTTTTTTATTTGTTTTTGAGTTACTATAATTTAATAATAAAATAATGGATTAAATATCTTGCTTATGTTATTAGATGTTGCGCAAGTTTAACAAACTTGTTCATTTTTGTTGTTTTTGTCTAAAAAATCGAATTTGGACCAGATGTCATGAATGTCATTAATTTATAATTATTAATAATGTTTAAATATTAATTTATTATTATAATCATTTACAAACATGTTTTATCGTTTTACAAAGATCAATTTTTCAAACTTATAAATTTATTTTTTTCTTTATAATAGCCGAATAAAAAAGGAACAATTTTGAATCCAAATAAAAGCGTTCATACAATTTACTTAAATTTACAAATTAAAAATTTGTTATAATATCAAACTGATAAACAATAAAAATAACCAAGAAAAATTTAGATAACAACACGAAAAAGTCGATTATTGTTAATGAAAGTCGTTTTTACTTCCAAATTGTTTTATATACACACAAAATGAATTTACCATGTGTTCTAATGGGTTTTATTTTTTTTGAGTTGTGCAAAATGTTAAGAGAATATTTATCACAAATCTGTTGTAATCAGAACAAACAACGAAAAACAATGCACTTTATATATGGAATATTGCATTTTTATATCAACACATGTTGTGTTATTGTGTTGATATATCAACACAATAACATTGTATTATATTAAATTGTCAAAATGTATTTTTTACTTAAATGTTTTTAATTTAAAGAAAAATACAAATTTGATGAAAACAAAAAAAACAATTCTGAAGAGAACTTACACAATTGCTATTCATCAGCATGCGTTTATCTTCTACGTGACATTGAAGTGAAGAAGTTGTACGACAAAGACAACGTCAACATATAATATGCTAAATGTTATGACGTGTATAATCTGAATGTCTTTTGTGTGACAAAAAATTGCAAATTTTTAGAAATGAAACAAGTTGTGTTATATGTGCTTTTTTAGTATTGTTTTGATACAACAAACAATGATTGTATTTATGTTGGTGAACTTGCCGAGAAATGCAAACTGTTTCAAGTTACAGTATGTGGAAATGCCGATGGTGTTTTATTTTGAGCAATCAATTCAGATCGCTTGAAATATGAAAAGAAGCGTTTAAATTGTGTTATTACTGTTTCAAATTATGCAAATTGTATTGTCAAAGGTTGGATTTATGAAGATGTTGAATTGATAACAAGAGAAAATAAGAAGTGTTTTATTAACACAACACTTGACAAATGCAAGTCGTTTTTAGAGTATAAGTGTGCCGTGTGCTATGATCTGTATTATCAAAATAAATACAAAAAAATTACAAAATGTGTTGAGTTGTGTAGTGCAAGAATGCGCGGCCCGAGATAATTGTGATGGAGTTGCACAAGATCATTGGGATGACTACTAATGACACGTTTTTGTGTTTTTGTTATGCGTTTCAAAAGTCCCATATTGTTCACGCAATGAAACGTTCCAGTCTTTTTTATACATGTCTCTTTTTAAAATGTGAACAAAATATGTAATTTGAATTTGATGATAAAAAGATAAAAAAAAATGAAATCGTAAATTCAGTTAGTTGTTGTTAATACTTC